AACTGCTATGATAACATCTTTGCTGAAATGTACCACCTGACGCCTTACTGTGCTAAAATCTGCTGTCTGGTCTCCATAAACATTCAGCAAGTGGGTGTGATGGATGTGAATCAACGTGGAGGAATTCAGTGGCACTTCTTTGCTTCACTTCATCCACACTTCAGTGTCAGACGCTGTTATGTCAGACTGTGCTTCCATCTGTCACACTGTAATAAAAGGTAATGGAATAGTAGTGGGAGGGTTCAACCTCTACTGCCATACCACCAGTATCTATCCACCTCTGGCGTCGTGGGCTAATGTAACAAAATTAGAGATATTACTTTCAGAGCAGCCTTCATAATTGTAAAAAGTTTCTATGTGTGTTTCAGTGTACACTGATAATCGTGGCACAAACACAGTTACGCTTCTGCTTTTGTTTTTTTTCCTTTCCTCTCTCCCTACAACCTGAGGCATTGCTGTTGAACTCCTTTGAAACTGTTAGAGCTAATGGGAGCCATTCATGTTTGGATAATTAGTACAGATGACAAGAAAGCAATGCCTGTATTTTGCAGGTGTCTATCAAATCAACTGAACTCATTTCTGCCAATTGACTCGATCTGTTTGGTAGCAAGTGTGGTATTTAAAATCGTTTCACTGCAGTTTTTTTGTTGTTGTTGTTGAGATTTCAGTCTGTCACTTCAGAAGGACTGAAATTATATTACAGTGGACCCTTCTAGGATTAGCTCTGCAATGTGGTTTTAATTTTGGTGGAAATGGATTTAAAATTCTCTTGTCAGATTCCGAAATTAAACATAATGAAAATTTTTAGCAGTCTAATGGTATTAAGCTAGTTCTTATTAGTTCTGGTGTGAAAAGACCACTCTGGCTAGGAAAATAACAGATTTTAAAAAATTAACAGCGTTGCAACAAAAGCCATTCAGCGTTCCGTGAATCTGATCACCTTACATTGTCATGCATCTGTTGCATCTGTTCATGAGCAGTTGGTTTCCTGGTCAGCCTGTTTACAATATGATAACAATCTTTCTACTGATTTCAGGGAGAGTCAGATTAGACCTGGGTGAGAGGAACTGAGGATGTTCTGGAAAGAAAGCTAACAGGCTGAGGGAACAGTGGTGGGCTGGCATTTTGAGTGGTCCTTGTGGAATAACATTTATGTAACTCATTAATGGGGTTATGTTAGTGCAGCATTGGTGTTGTTAATATGGGTTAGGGCAGTAGGATTAGATAAGTTAGAGATTCTGATCAGTCAATTTTATAACTTTTTCCTCCGGGGAGCTGGTATTCACCATCATCTGCCACATGGTAAGGTGTGCAATTCCTTTTGATAGAGTAGGAAGGTTCTATGACCTCCAGAGATCTACACCATTTCTCAAAATAGGTGTTCAGATAATGCTGGTCATCACCATGCTTGCAAGTTCTCTCTCTCCACTTTATGTAATCTTTAAATACGTTTATTGTGGCAAAAACTTTCCCAATTCCCTTCAACTCACTATGATTATTCCAATCTAGATGTATTCTTTCTTTTATATTCCTGTCAGTATTTTGTATATTTCCAAAAGGTTTCCATCTCCAAGGATCTCTTTCTTGAAGCATAACAAGCTGCTCACTCCTTTGGAGAATGAAATAAATTTTTAGTTTCTGCAATGTTCAGATTGCCCTTTTATTACCTTCACTTTCATAATATTCTTCTTATACTAAAGGGACAAGGACCATGGCTGCATTCCAAATGTGGCTTCAAGTCCCTAATGTAGTATTATAATGATTTATTCCAAGTACTACTTTTGTTTACTGTATCTATCCTAGAATCTCTTGCCTTATTAATTTAAATACTGTTAATCCTTGTGCAGATGGTTATAAAGTTCTCTGCAGTACCAAGACTGAATTCAACTCCTGTTAAATGTGTTGTGGCATATGGCTATTGAGAGAGCACTACCTTTTATTATTTTTTTTGTAATCTCATAACCTTATCCTTCTTTACAATGAATTGCAGATGCCAGTGAAGCCACTAACAGTATCAGCTTGTGATCCCTGTCTATTTGTCATTCAGAATTTTATTGCCATTCTGTTTTTGTCTTTACTGGCTCTATTCTCTGGTTTTGTTTCATCAGCAAATTTCTTCACCTTCATACATATTTCATGTCTTAGGTCAGTGATATATAAAATGAACAAAAATGGTCCTAATACTGATTCTTGTGGCATTCTACTAATCCTTCTGTCCCAAACTGCTCTGTCTCATAAACAGCTTCTGTCTGTGACATTTAAGCCAGTTCCCTATCCACATATGTGGCTCACCCCAATACCATACTTAATGACTTTGGACCAAATGCTCTTTTCAGTTGTGTGGTGCAGAGGGAAATAAAAGACTGAAAGAAGGGCAGAAAGGGAATGGAGGAGGAGGAGAGACTTAGTGACCTTTCTAAAATCCATGCAACCTAAATTCCTTCTGCAGTCTCTCCTCAATTAAAATTTAGATTTTCAGGTGGTCTTCAACTTCCATTTTGCTGCTTGAAGGTACGAAGTTTGCTTGTTGGCTAAGGCTTACAATTTAGCTTAAGCACCATTTTGATTTCATGATTTTGGGGTTACTATTTTGCTTATACATTTTAATACACATAAAAGTATCTAAATTACCAATAGATAGTAAGGCAAAGAAATGTCAAATCTGTGGAGCTTTAGTTGAAAAGGGGGACAAGGTAGAGTAAAAACGTTTCTTTGTTACAACCAGCTTTAAGGTGAATGGGCAACCTGGGACCTGTGTCAAAGAGAAGATGATGGCTCTCTATGACAGCTATGAACATCTTAGGTGGCATACTGCCTAGGAACACAGCACATCTTCCTGCTGCGTTACTTCCTAGACAAGCATAGTGAATGATGAAAGACCAGGAGGAGATCCCAGCTGATGGGAATTGCACTCAGGGTTTGCAGAGATTCTTGCCCTTTGTGCTCCCTGGTTCGCAGCAAAGCTTCTGAACAAATAATTTGTTTTTACAAATTTATAACCTATCTCATGTAAATTGCATTTTGTCTTTTGTTGACATTTAAATTCCATTTTCTTTCTATTGTATATAATATTCTAGTCTATAGTTGAGTTCTAACAAAGACTGGGAAAGGTTACTAGGTAGACTTAAGTGTCCAGAAGGAAGAAATCCCCTGTTCCTTAGCTTGTCTCAGTTTTTCTGGGGCTGTCATTCTGCACTTTGAGAATAAAAGAAAAATCTCTCTCATCTTGAAATCAGAACATCAAATGCATTGTACCTTCAGAAACCACCTTCAAATTGTATTGAGGGGTATAATGGCGTCACCTCATGTTGCTTAACATCTTTGAAAGACAAAACCCTTCTGGATTGCATAGCACAGTTTAATACTAGGAGAGAGGCAATACTGTTTTCCTTCCTAATTTTCTTGTAGCTATACCAAAATGTTCTCCTTTTCTCTCTCCTCCCTCCATGCCTCCCCATATTCAAATTTTAAAGGCCCCTGGGAAAGCTGGCCTCAGAAATGTCTTTGCCTACATTTCCTTCTTTATTTCTAAGACTATTAAATGAAATGGAACATTTATCTGGAATTAAAAGTCCCATCTGTAGTTGGATGAAAATTTCTCAAGGTAACAGTTAATAAAGCTTCACCCTTTCTTTTGGAGATTTCTATCGTCATCTACTGGAAAAATTTAACTTTAGTTCTTGCTTTTTTTTCCTCATTCTTCAAACACTGGAGCTTTGAGCAATCAACCACTCTTGTCGTAGAGAAGGTAACATTTTACCTACTGAAAGTTTCGTAGTCCAATTCAGGTTTTATTGTGAATGAAAGATACTCAAGATGCTTATTGTCTTACAGTAATCATCTTGAATTATGAAGATTTAAATGAGAGATTCATGATATGATCTCATCAAACTCATTAGAATGGTTTTGACATTGTAGCATATTAGTTTTGCCTTGTGTGATTGCCTTTCCAGATAGCCATGAAAAAAATCCAAGCTTATATGAAAATTAGTTTTATGATATGTATAGGTATTTTTGGTGCAGATATAGCTTCAGGTTTCAGCATGGGCTGAAGCCCATCAACTTTTCCAGGACTTCCTGTGCACTTGGGTTAGCTGGTGTCAGTTGAAACATGTTGCTGTAGCCTTGAATGCATGTGCAGGGTGCTGCCATCAGCTCAACTAATTTCAGGGTTGTCTTGATAACGGGTAACGATGAAGTAAGGCTGCACACTTCTGGGAAAAGCTTGCTGGCAGCTTGCTGACCTTGGCTCTCTCAGTATGCTGAGCCTGATGCTAGCTGCTATCAGGATGGAGTATAGCATTAAAAGGGGCTCTCAGAGGTGTTGAGCTCTGCGTCCTCCGAGTATTGAGTGTCCAGCTCAAGAGAGTTGTAAAGGTACAAAATTCTCTTGGTAATTTTTTCTTCACTGAGAGCCATGTTGCTGGTATAGAGGCTTCACTGACTCAGCAGAGCCTCACTGTTTTCATTTGTCAGAGCTCCAGTAGATTTCAGTTATCTGATTATGAAACAGTTCAAATTGTAGACAATTACAGGAAGGTCTTTCTTGACCAATCTGATCTCCTGTGATTAAGTGATCATCCTGGTGGATGAGGGAAAGGCTGTTGATGTAGTCTACCTAGACTTCAGCAAAGCCTTTGACACTGTCTCCCCCATTATTCTCCTAGAAAAGCTGGCAGCCCATGCCTTGGACAGATACACTATTTGCTGTGTAAAGAACTGGCTGTATGTGCAGGCCCAGAGAGTGATGGTGAATGGATTTAAAGTCAGCTGGCAACACTGGTCATGAGTCGTGTTTCCCAGGGGTCGGTGTTGGGGCCTGTCCTGTTCAATATCTTATATTTTTGTTGTTGACCTGGACGATGGGATTGAGTGCACCCTCAGTAAGTTTGCAGATGACAGCAAGTTAGGAGAAAATGATGATCTGCCTGGGATTAGGAAGGCCCTACAGAGGGATCTGGACAAGCTGGATAGCTGGATTGAGGCCAGTGGGATGAAGGGCTCGCTTTGGCAGTGCATATACTAAAACTGGAACAATAGAGAGAAGATTAGCATGGCCCCTGCACAAGAATGGCATGCAAATTCATGAAGCATTCCATGTTTTTTGAGGAAGTTTTTCACACAGAAGGTGGTGAGGCACTGTTCACAGGTTGCCCAAGCAGGCTGTGGATGCTCCATCCCTAGAGGCATTCAAGGCCAGGCTGGTGGTTGGTGACCCTGCACAGAGCAGAGGGGTTGAAACTAGATGATCATTGTGGTCATTTTCTAACCCAAGCCATTCTATGATTCATCTTATGATTCTCTTCAACAGGGACAGACTGAAGCTTAACACATGAACTGAAAAGGTATTACTTGTGGGAATAATCAACTTCTTAATATACAATTAAATGAATCATTTTGCTGAGTAATAAACTCCCATGAGAAGGTAGTTGTGATTAAATATCACGCATATGTGGTTGCTATTCTTCAACTCAGTTCCAAACAAAGAACCAAATTAAATGTACAGTACATGTACAGTACTGGTAATTGAGAAAACAGAGTTTAAAGTCATGAGTTTATCAACTCATAAAAATAACCCGTTTGCTTTCCATCAAATATTCTCTGAGGGGAATTAATAGCCACCTTTCAAGAAAGTGGTTGGAAATATGTGAGCTGTGCTTGAGGAGTTATTATTTCAGTTTTCTGTGGTGGTAGTTTAACTGTAAATCAGTGTGCAAAAGTGCATGCAGGCAACAGAAGACATGGCTTATTTTGTTGTATGTGGGAAAGATATTGACTTTGTGTTCTACAGCTTGAATGTATCCATTTTTCTATGTGTATCACATAAAAATTACAACTAAAATTGTTGGAAGTTTTTGAATATGAAGTATAGACGAGGAATGTTTTCTTGTCTTTTCCCCAATTTTTTGTGAGGTAGAAGTGTTCCGTTGATCGGTTTATTATGATGAGGTTTTGCTGCAATTGCAAGTGAAATCTCTTGGTATTGCAAAAATGTGATTTATATATGACAGTGGAGCGTGTGAACTGTAGGTCAAACAGTAAATATTCTACTGCATTTAGGACAGTTCTGTGTCTAAGGCATTATCTGTTTGTCTTCTTTCCATATGGTCCCCATAGCTATGTTCTCTGGATATTGGGTTTAATTTCTGATGTTATAGATTTTTCAGGATGATCTTAGCTAAAATCTTCCTGCATCGGTTTCCAGTTTTTAAAAATCAGGTATTTCCATATGCTAGAGAGTGTCAGGAGCATGATGTTTGTATTTCTTGTTGTTGGAGAAGGTAGGTGAAATAAGTGACGGAGGAAATGCCAGTGTTACTGAGAGCACACTTAGAAAACACTAAAAGAGTGGAAAGCAATGACAGCAGTTGATACTGTCATTTACATTTAATTTTAATAACAAAAGTAGAAATTAAAAAGAAACTGGAATGTGCAAATAAACATGATTTCTGTTAATATATTTGTATATATATATGTATATATATTTGTATATATATGATATACTGTTGGTTGGTGCTTCTATGAATGGTTATGGAATTTGAATTCTCCTACTACTGCTGAGAAGTTCTAAATAAGAATCTACAAATAAGGAGAGCTTTATAAATGTAAGGTTACTGTTTTAAGTTTCAGTAATGCTCTAGTACTCTCAAACCTGTAGGGCTGTTGCCTATGGTTTACCCTATGAAAGCATGCACTAAAGCACTGTATTTTGGTATAGAAAAAAGTCACTTCTTTCATCTGAAGCAAACCAGAGAAGGAATCACTTTGATGCAGCATAAACTGCTCAACAAACTCATCCACTGTAGTAGCAAACATTTTAAAGATTTTAGAAATGAAGAGGAAAACAGATAGTCATAGGCTTAAGAGGAGGGTGTTATGCAATGTTTTTAGTGTGCATTAAGAACACTTGAATATTTTGGCAGAAATAATCATAACAGGAAAGGAAGCCTCAAGCAAGATGTTTAAGTACCATTAGAATGGCTAAGCTTGTGTAGTTGTGGTTCTTACTGTTGGGTTGTTCTTTCACTCATGATCCACAGTGACTACTTTTCTATTTATTACGTACAAGGTAAAAAATTTTATACTTTATTATAGTGTGGAGAGGTATATTTTTGAGAATTCAGAAGAGATAATCAGATATAACAATTCTTTATCTGTTGATTTCATAGAATCTTTACTGCTAATAAACATTGTATGCTAAGAATTGAACATGAGCTCCAACACCTACAAATGTTTGTAGGGACTCCACACAGACTGAACTTAGTTCTTGACAGTCTCTAGTGGAATAGCCATGAACTTTTCTGATCAAGGACTTATATTTTCATTTGCAAAAGCATAATATGACTATATATCTGAGGCTATGTAAAATTGATGCTAGCTTTTTGTATGAAATGTTATTAAGCTTCTGTTTCTCAGAACAAAACAGGAATGAGAATCAAAAGCCACTTCATGTACTTATTTCTATCCTCATATCAGTTTTTTTTTTCAGTGTCATAGAGGGAGCAGGTGCTAGTATAAAAGTCTTCAAAGGTTTTTTCCTTCTCACTGTAAATGATAAATACTGTCACGTACCCAGAAATTAAGAAAGCAAATGACCTGTGAGGTGTTTCTAACAGGAGATTTTATTACCTTGACAATAGTGCCACATAGGTACTATAAGCAGTGCCCTTACCTGCTGTAAAATAAAAGGCAGGGCAAGCATTTGAATACATCCCAGGCCAGGTATAAATGCAGCTGTAAAGTTCAGATTTGCATTTTTTTTTTTTACATGTGTTTGTGAGATGGATGATCAGCAGGGGCAGAATGGAAGTCAGAAATGTCAGAAGCTTTTCTCTGCCATTTTATACTTGTCACTACGATTGTCACCAAGAAATCAGTGCTGGGGAATAGGCTGTAGTTATGGTTACTCAAGCAAAAAGGGGGGGAAAAGGTGCAAAATTGAAGTGGGCTATTTGATTAGGAGGCAAGTAAAAGGAGACAGGCACAGCAGAGCCAGTGAGGGATGCCAGATAAATAGGTTTGGCAAGAATCACCTGCCTTGATTCAGTGAATAGCAGCCAGTACTTAGCAGAGAAGAGCCAAGAGTCAGACTAAGGAGCTATTCCATGGTGATTTCTGATCCTCGGTGTCCAGAAGAAAATGTGATGTTGGACTGTATTGTAGAATATACCCACCGGATGGAAATTTGGCATGGTCTGAACTTTCCAATCCTTACTCTTTTCCCCTGTTTCCAAAACAGTTTTTATTCTGAGCACAGATATGTGTTCCTCTTTGTAAAATATAAAAGCATACTTT